AGAGAGAGAGAGAGAGAGACAGAGAGAGACAGAGAGAGACACAGAGAGAGAGAGAGTAGTTAGAAAATGTAACTTAAAAGTTAAAATGGAACGGGGGTAGACGCATACAGTCTTATATGAAAAGGAGAATGGTTAGCAATGTAGGGTCCTGGCTGATCCAACCAAGCTTTGGTGGTAGTGAAACAATAATGTCTAATACATGGGTTTAAACAATAGCATGTTGACATCTAGAGCAACTCAGTAGCCAATGGAAGTACACAACAGAAGTTGGGAACAAGATGCAATGGGGTAAGGCACACTTTCTAAGTAGAAACCCAAAGGCTAGCACAGGGATGTCTGTTAGGGAAAATGAGTGTAAAGGCAAATAATGCCACTGAATTTGCAAAACAACAGTCACAGAATGATAAAATACCAAATGAAAATATAATTTGTGACACATGCACTTCATATTTTCAAAATACATGAAGCAACAGCTGTCAGAAGAGTAACAGTCTATGTATAACCCCTCATTAGTGCTGGAGAATTAAACAGACATTCTCTGCTAACACCAACCTTTCCACTCCCTCTTTTAGGAATCAGAGCAGTACAAAAATAGATCTAAAATCCACATCAAGTGGGGCTGGGGAGATCACTCAGTGGAGAAAGTGCTCGTCTAACTATAATGTCAAATCCAGGTTCAATGAAAGACCATGTCTCAAAAGATAAGTTGGAGAGTGGAAGATAATTAGAGTTGACTTCTGGCCTCCAAACTTTCATGCAGAGGCCAACACACACACACACACACACACACACACACACACACACACACACACACCATAGTAAAGTTGAGATAATAGTTACGTCTCAAGTGGAGAATGTGTGTTCATTAAAATACTTAAATGCAGTTATAAGATAATTTTAGCAAATTTAAAGTATTAGCATCAGATACCGGCTTCTAAACTAACACAAAAACAGACGTCAGTCACTAAAAGTCACAACAGAGAGAATGGGCTTCCAGGAAGCTGAAATTTTCTTCATAATCTGGAATGACCTTAGCTACCATACTCTTACTCTGTCTTATTGGTCTTCCCTACAACTGCTCACCAATGATAAAAATTCAAATACTATTCTTGATTGTAGTCTTCCATCTCCACTTAACCAATTAATTACTACATTGCTCAGTTATGTCCTGAATAATTTTTAAATTACTCTCACTTCTCCACTCTCATTGCCATTCCCTCGTTTCAGGAAATTTCATTCTTGTTTGAATTAATGCCATGGCATCATTCTAGTTTTGACTTCAAGCTTTTCCTGCACATTCACTAGTTTCTGGGAAATGGTGGTGTACTATTGTACTTTACACAGCAAGTTTTACATAAGACCATCCTGATTCCTTCCCCTTACCATACTGCAAGCAATCTATCTACTTGTCCTGCCTAGTTTATTGACAACTTGACAGAAGTTAGAGATATCTGGGAAGAGAAACTCGGAGTTTAGAAAATGCTTCCATTAACATTGGCCTGTAGGCAAAGCTGTAGTACATTTTCTCAATCAATGATGTTGGAGGGCTCAGCTCATTACCAGTAGTGGCCCTCCTGGGCAGTTGGTGGTCCTGGGTTCTATAAGAAAGCAGGCTAAGCAAGCCATAAGAAACAAGCCAGTAAGCAACGCTCCTCCATGGTCTCTGCATCAGTTCCTGTTTCCAGGCTTTTGTCAGGACTTCTCTGGATGGTGGACTATAAGCTATAAGATGAAATAAGCTCCTTCCTTCCCAAATTGCTTTTGGTAATGGTGTTTCCTCACTGCAATAACAACTCCGAGTATGACACTACTTATCCTCCTCAACTCTGCTTCATTAGCTTTATCATTGCATTTGTATGTTTGGTAACTGACATGATATGGACACACCAAGCGATGAACAGGTAGATGCTCGCTCTTCCAAAGTGCTTAATCTTGTACACATAAAACCTAAGTGAAACTATATACAGAATTATGATAGTTCGCATTGCTTTTCATCTTGAAAGCATCCAGAAACATCTATGAGACAAACCTCTGGGCATGTCCATGAGAGAGTTTCTAGATTGGGTTTGCTGAGGTTGGAGGACGTGAATGGCAGCATTCTATAAATTGAGATCCAAGACTAAATAACAAGGATGAAGCCATCTGAGCCCCAGCATTTATCTTTCTCTGCTTCCTCACTGTGCCACAAGAGTAGCTCCTGTTTTCCCTCCCTCTCCCGACACTGTGCCATCCCCACCATGGTGGGCTGGACTCTCACACTATTAGGCAAGATAACCTTTTCTTTCCTTACTTAAAGTGCTTTTGTTGGGCATTTTGCCACAGTGACAACAGTAGCTAACACAAGGATGAATGAATTTGTTTGTGTCCTCTGCATAGTTATCTGCAATGAGTTAGTGTTTTGAAACATAGGCAGTCTAGAAGCAGTTTAAAAACCCAAATAGTCCAAGACATGTTTTAAAAAACATACAGGAAGTTTAGCAAACATAGTCACCTATAACTGTGATCAACCCATAAAGTACACACGCTACATTTTTCTTTAATGTGCTCAGTATGCCTTTAATTTCTGTGTCCCTAAAACTTGAGTTAACATATAAAGCACAAAAGGTACTTTATGTTTTTGAGATTTGGTTTGCCGGGATAGGCCAGGCTGGCCTCTAACTTGTGATTCTCTTGCCTCATTCTCTGGAGTGTTGGGGTCATAGGCACACACCACCACGCCAGATCAAAAGGCACTTTGTGATGCAGAATATTCAGTGATGGAGGAGGATGCACTGGACCACACAAGTTTACCTGGCACATTTTAGAATGCCCTAATAATGAGGTTTTGACAGTTTAAAAAGTTTTACATCATATATATGTATATGTATATATGTATAACTTTTTATCATAGTAATTAGAAATGGAAAACTGGAGGAATTAAATATTGTTTTTAGTCTATAAATACATAACAACAAATGCTTAATTTAGCAGCTTATTTTTAATTTATCTATACTTTCAAAAGTGCAAAAACATTAATGTAAATTTAAACACAATTTAATAAATATAATTAATTAGAAACCACAGCCATAATATGAAAGTGTTTTCTTCTTCAGTTTCTACACTCTCTTATAGTAAAGAGTATTCTCTCTGGCACTGATACTTTATTTAAATGGTATGATGAAACTTACTATTTGTTAGAAACTTAATGGCTTAAAAAAGATGCAATTGTCTAGATAATCTTTTTTATACAAAATTCTATATACTTATTCTCTCTCTCTCTCTCTCTCTCTCTCTCTCTCTCTCTCTCTCTCTCTCTCTCTGTGAATGTGCACACGTGTGGTGGTCACAGAACAACTTTCAGAATCTCTCTTGCCACCAGGAAGGTCCAGGGGTCACACTCAGGTTGTTTGCATTTACCAACTGAGCTATCTCCTTAAAATAGTATTATTGATATGTGCTTTAGTTATAGATATTTTATTAGAGGGCTAACGCTGTAAAGAATAAAAATTATGTACCCAAAGCTCTCCCTTCTGTGAGAACCAACATAACAATATAACAGAGATAGAGTCCCATTTTTAAATGGGAAAGTAATGTAAATGCAGATAATTTCAACTTTGTCTTTCTTACTGCTACATAACTCATTGTTTATGTAACACAGTGGCTTCTACTATAATTAAATGCTTGTTTTTTTTTTTTTTTTTTTTTTGTTTGTTTGTTGTTGACCGGAAGCAGTTTCACACAGGGAGAAGTGGATGTGGTTTACATGCAGCACAGTGACATCAGGTGAATGCCAGAAGTATTCCTGAAAGGAACTAAGCCCTTACGATTCCACGTGAATAAACCTGCTGCCACAGTCACATCATAGTTTTCCATGGCTAGTAAAATGAACCTCACCTTAGACTTTCTAAAATATCTGAATTTGCTCCCTATTGAGATTTGTAATTCCCCAAAACTTGTGTGTACCTTGTCTCAGCCAAACTAATTCACTTTGACTTTGTATTTTAATGGATGCCCTTGTTTTCTAAGTGGATAGCTTCTAGAAAGCAGCTAAGCAAAAATAATTTCTATTTTTCAGCTATAAGTACACATAGAAAACCATTTCTGGATCTCACCACACTTAATATTTTAATACAATCTTCATTTTCCCCAATTCAGATAGAAATATACTAGGAACTTAGGTAATATAAGATGAGGGTAACCCAATTACATTACTTTCTCCCAATTCTCTTGATGAAACAGAAGTCCCATGTCCTAGAAAAGTCAGTCCTACAAAAGACAGGAGTGCTGTTATCTTGGGGGAAGTTATCAACTGGGGAACTCTAAGATAACAGGGCCTTACCTTCACATCATTGGTGTTCATTCTTGTTCCCTCCTTCCCCACAAATATGTCATCAATGTCCACAAGGATGTATCTGTCCAAGGACAATGTCAGCCTCTTTCCCGACAGGAAGGAGATGGCATCTATGAAGATGAGCTTGTGCAGCCAAAAGTTCAAGTTGTTGCCAAAAAGAACACGCTGGATCCCGTCATGAAGCCCCAGGTCATGTATGATAGTGGCATAAAAAGCACCTTTAGAGATGGGTGGAGAAAGGTTTTCTGGAGTCTTAACTTTGGCAAATATCACTGGCTGGTAGGTGGAGTGGTTAATCTGAAAAACTGTCCAGTCAGTTCCAGGTAAAGAACCTCTGTCCAGCTTGGATGATTTGGTCACACGAAGCAATGGGGAGTGAGGATTAATACAGCAATCTTTTACTGCCAGGTTTCCACTTATGGAAAAGGGGAAACCTCTGAACTGAAAGCTCTGGAGGTTTTTCTCACTGGTTTTGTGGAATCCAATGATACCCACACCATACTCCACACAGTATTTATCTAAGAGGCTTCTGTTCCAAGAGTCCATGTTTATATACTTCAAAATATTCTCATATATAATGAGAACATATTTGCCTTTCACGTTGTCTGTAAGGGCTGGAAGGTCCCCCTTTCCAGGAGCGATTTCAGTGTGATAGTGGAATCGAATGGATTCTAGCATCATAATGATGTCTTGGCCAAGGGATGAGTACTGGCTCTCCACAAACACCAGGACTGTGGGATCTGTCCTTGAAGCATCAGAAAGCATTGTCCTCTTCACTTCCATCAGCCTGGATGGTATGTGCTGGAGGTCACCACAGTCCACTTCTGAAGCCCTCCCAGAGAGTTCACTTTCCTGTTTGTATCCACTGTACAGGTAGTAAGCAGAGATAATAATGCTTACCATACAAAAAGTGGCAAGCAGAATCAGTGTTCTCTGAAAGTGTCTGTGAAGTTTCATGATAAAACTCATGTTGGGTGGACTTCTTTGACTATTCTGATAGAAGCACCATTTAAAAAAAAATAGGAGGAAGGATGGAGTTTCAGCCACGCCCCTGGTCTCAGTCAATAGTTTATGTCACCATTGCAGCACATCTGGATTACACAGTCAGGACTCACAGGAAACACAGTCTGAAAAATAAAACAAAATAGGACAGAGTATAAAACATTCTGTCTTTGGTATCAAAATGAGTGAGTTTTTATCATACTGGCTACCTTGCATGGCGGGTTATGAGCAGATCAGTTGGTGTAAGTGACATTAGAAAATCTTTATTTCTTCTTATAGCTGTGGATGAGGACTTGTGAGGGATAGAATGAGGAAGAGGGCTACACTCAATACAGGGCCACTATCTATTTCTAACACCAAACAAGTGTCTGGGCTGACAAGGACCCAGACTCACCAAGCTTTGCATCAAATTCTGATAGTAACACAGAGATTCTCAAATACATGCAGTAGCTCCTGTCACATAGACACATATCTTGCAGTGTATACTCAAACTGTGAATGTTGAATTACATATATTAAAGGTTTACAAAATGTGGACATATATCATTAAGTGCCAAAATTACAACAGTGGCCTTCTTCTTTTTCAGAAATTTCTTAATGTAATGAAATTTGTCATTGTACCTACATTTATAATTCATTAGAGAAATTATCCTCTAAATCCTTTCTATATGCAAAGATGGCTTAGCAACCCAATTGGTTATTTCAGATTACAGAGATTTAAAACATTGTAACAACCATATTGAGAAGTGAGTGTGAGGAATGCAAACTTTTTATATTCCTTCAGGTCTGGAGTGAGATGGCCTGCTTCAGGCATGCACACCACAGCTCTGCTAGGTTCCTTCAGGTCTGGAGTGAGATGCCCTCCTTCAGGCATGTGCCCCACAGTAGCTCTGCCCAGATGTTTCAGTCTGATCTGCTTCTGCTTTTTGAGCTCAGTAATTACATCAACAGTACTATAAAGGCATGATAAAAATGTCATGAAAAAAGTTGCCATGCCATGAAATGCTTTATGCTCCAACAGTTTCAAGTCTTAGTAACCTCTGAAAACCTGTTTACTTTGAAAAATAAGCAGAGAAGTATATTTTTAGAGCACATGTTTGGTAGGATCTTATAGTCCCAGCACTCCATGAGGAATACAAAAAATTTAAAGAAAAGTTGTGTCATTGTCCTCATGGTGTGCTCACAGAAAGCTGTGGGACAATCAGTGGTGGGAAATCCTGCATTTGATGGTTACAATGCATTTAGGGCTGTTCCTCTGTTTCTTAATTGCAATATTTCTATCATGTACTTTTCAGATACAATGATGAAGCCAGAATAAAGAGTCACTAAGAATCACAGGGTTAAAATTCTGTAGTATTTATCTAAGAAATATACAGCAAATCAGAATTTGAATAATATTTATATTCATTTTTATGAATAATTACATCTTGAGATATAAGTATAAGATATTTATGAATTTATCCTATAAATCACATGTTGCAGTTTATTACTCAAATACTTGGGTATCTGTGTCATTCATTCAAGTATTTATGGAGAACTTATTTTTTTCTACTTAAACTAGACATGTTCAACATATGAGATATCTTTAAAAGCTTCTAAATTATGAAGAGGATACAGTGACTAGAATGCTAACATGTGGTTGTGGATTAGAGGCTATAATGAGATAAGAGAGGAAAGAAACCATGACAAGTGGGGCATAGTCTATGAAAGAAAGGCACAGTGGAGAAGACTTGGGCCGAAGCTAAAGGAGGGTAATTTGTATAGATATATAAGATTTAGAAAATGTTATAGACATAGGAGTAAGCACAATATTGGGAAAAAGACATGAATGGAAAGTAGAAAAATAAGATAAAAGTATTCAAAAATTAACTGTGACTACACACTGCTAATGCAAATTATAGCGAGTGATAAATCCTTAAGTGCAATGACAGGCCCTGTTTTCATTAGATTTTGTAGATATAAAATGCCAAAGTCATTTCTTTTACATCCAATTCTCCAAATTTCCTTCAGATATCAAAGGTTATCCTATTTATATTCCCAAGGGCAGGAGTTAGTTGAACATGGATAAGTGAAAACTCTCCTGCTTTCTGAACCATTATTATTTTTTTTTTTTTTT